TCAGACTGCAGAGAGCCCACTTGCTCGGAGAGGGCCTGCCCCCTGCTCCTGCACCCAGAGCCCTTCCCGCCAGCGGTGACTGCCTGCTTGCGGCATCTGCAGTCCCCCACTGGCACAAGAGAGGGCACTCGTGGTGCCTCCGAGTAGGACTGGCCACTGGCCGGTCTGTGCACCGCCCCCCCCCCCCCCCCCATCCTCAGAGCATCTGCGAGGCAAGCAGACTGAGGGCGAAGATCGGCACTTCCGAAGGGCAGCTGCATGGGGTGCAGCAGGCCCCTGAGGCTGCCCAGACCCTCCGCAGTCAGTGAGGCCAGAGATCTGAAAGCAGTGGACACCTGGGGGACACCCTGTGTACTTAACCCTGGGCATTGTACAGGAGGGAGCACAGAGTTTGGTGGGGGAGATACACCCTGTGTTCTTACCCCTGGGCATTGTACTTGGTGGGGGCGGGGGGGATACACCCTATCTGCTTGGTACCCCGTGCATTGTATTCAGGGAAAGGGACTCTTGTGTACTTGGCACCCCTATGCATTGTATGAGGGGGAGGGAACAAGACTCCTGTGCACTTGGTACAGCTGTGCGTTTGAAGTGAACCTCGCCTTCTTCCCCTGGGTACAGGGTACCCAGGTACACTGGGTGTCTCCTCGGTGACGGTGATGTGAGTTGTCACTGGTTTCTTTACTCCTAAAAACAGAGTAATAATGCTTACTTCCTGGGGCTTTGATCAATGGTTCCTAATTGTCTATTTGTTGTCCTATTGTGATGCCTAAACGGTTTGTAACGCCTAAATGGTTTGGGGTTGAGGCCATTACCTTGTTAATTCACATTAAATTGAATAAACATTGTTTTGTGTGTGTGTGTGTGTGTGTGTGTGTGTGTGTGAGAGAGAGAGAGAGAGAGAGAGAGAGAGAGAGAGAGAGAGAGAGAGATTGACTCATTGACTCATTCAGTGAAATTTACTTGAAAACCCTAAGTAAACCCAGGGCCGTTTTTTAGACTTCTGTGCGAGCTTGATTTTGACTGGGGCAGGTGGGCGCTGATCTTGGGCTCGGTTTATCTGTAAATGTTAATTTAGCCATATAGGAAGATTTGGAGATCATGGATTTCCGTTTCCCAGGGGATCATATATGGATCCTGCTTCCGCTTTATCTGTGCGGCCCGGTGTGCAGTGGGACCCTCCCCTAACAGTGCGTGTTAATATTTGGAAAATTCCCTATCAGCGGCTCGCACCATCTTGACAGTCCTCTCCTCTGCCTCTGCCTTGCTAATTGTTTCCTTGGGATTATTTGGATTGTACGGAAAGCTTTTTGCAAATCCTCTTATTACCGAAGTCATTGTTGCCAGCAGGAATAAGATTAAAGGTGCTGAAGTCTGTGGGGTTGTTTCTAATTTGTACGTGTCATTTCGGTGGCATTTCAACAGAACTCCGTCTCCTGTCCCTTCCTTCTCCCCCGGCACTATCTCAAGTTGGGTCCGAGAAGCCAGGCCATTGGAAGGAATCTCATTTTATCCTCCTAATTATTATGCTGGCACTCAGGAGATAATTTTTCCCTTCATGCACTGCCAATTAATATGCAAATGGGCTGATAAATATTCATGCGGCAGTTTAAATTATGCAGGGAGTGCTTTCAGTGTATTCTGTAAACGAATTGTTCCTGGACTTCAAAGCGCGGGCTGCCCGCTAACGAGGAGAGATTTGCATAACGCCCTAATCACGCGCATACTGATTAAGCCTCATTATGGGAACTGCCAGCTGCAATCTTTGTTTCTATTTTATGACAAAAAGGGGAACTTTCCATGCTTCAGTTGCCTTGGCTGTGTCAGTCCCCCCGGCCGGCCGGAGAGACTCAAAACTCCTCCGAGCAACCGAAGTTTCGTATTCAGTCGAAGATGGCCCTGGTGTAACTGAAGTTGTTGGCTGCTTCCCCCCAACCCACTGCCCACCTCCCGCCCCGGCTCCCCTTGGCCCTGTAGTGCGGGTTTCTTAGCCGCGGCACCCACCCCGCTACCTGTCTCTTCTTGCTGTGGACTCTGAGCCTCTAGAAGATTCCACAGCAATGCTGGACTGCAGTGACTGTGTGCTAGGTGGGTACCGGCCCCTTCTTTCTTCGGAGCTTTAATATGGAAATGGGGGGGTGGGGTCGACGTTGCAGAAATGCTTCATCGCGTATGCAGCCGTGGGGGGGGCGGCGAGCAGTTGGGTGGGCTGGGAGGGGGCGGCACCTCCGGAGCACAGGCGCCCTGGACCTGTCCACGGCACAGCCTTCCCTGCCGGAGGCGGCTGCGGGACGGTCAGCCCGAGGGGACGCCAGCCTGGCTCTCTGGCCGGTTTGGTCGCGAGCTTTACAGGGCATTCGAGAGCCCATCTGAATTCGCAGCGAGGCAAAAGATGTACCAAGCTGCCACGTCCACGCTAATAATACCGTTTCGCATCCTTAGTAAGAATACCTTCCATAAACGCCAGAAAGAACGGAAAGGAGGAGGTGGGGCAGTGGTCAGAGGTGTCCCCGCTGGGGCCAACGCAAGGGGTGGTGTGTCCCAGGCTGTGAGACACTCGTGGCAAATTGGGCCGGTCGTGTCAGCCCTTTCTCGCCGTGAAGAATGCACTCACGTTTCCTCAGAAGCAGCCGAAAGGGCTGGACGACCTATTTTTCAAGTTTTCCTTCTGGAGAAGGACGAGCCTGCGGAGGGGCCGAGGACCCAGCCGAGATGCCAGAAACCGCCTTTGGGGCTGAGCTTTCAAATAGTTTGTGGCACTTTGGTTTTGAGACCGAAGGAAGGGGCGCTTGCTTGTTTGGCGGGTGTATGCAAAGCACTGGAAACCTCCTGAACAGCCTCTGGCCACCTGGGGAGGGAGATGAGGTCAGCTGCGGGCAGGCAGGAACTCCTGCCTGTGGAATGCCCCTGCAATGTCATTGTCCCCACAGGAGAAAGGAGCCTGCTCGGCCACACCCCTTCGGGCGCCCCCGCCCCGCCACGCCCCGCCCCGCCCCGCCCCGGTGGTGTCCAGTTTGCTGATGGTTCTAGGAAGGTTTGCGCCTGCCCGCATGCCCCGTGATGGGTGTCTGTGCTATGGATCCGACCCCCCGAGTTCCAGCCCCGCACGACCCCAAGCCTGTCGGATCGGTGGGTGGAGGGAAAGCCCCCCCAAGTATCAGCTGAGAATTTAGGCATATTTCCTCTGGAATTCAGGAGGGGGAAATTTTGAGAAATGTTTTTAGTGTTTTGTTTTAGAATTAGAAACTGGATTCATTTCGGTTAATAGTAAGTAGTGTTTACCGTTAACTGTAGTCAGTGAGTCCAGTTTCGGGACAACAACTTAGTAAAAAATTCTTAGGGGCCAGAGCATGCAGCTGATCCGGGTTCAATCCCCACCATCCCATAAGGCCTCACGAGCACCGCCAGGAGTAATTCCTGGGTGCAGGTCCAGGAGTGAGCCCTGAGCATCGCTGGGTGCGACCCCAAAACAAGACCAAAAAAGGAAAAGAATTCTTTGAAGGGTCACAGAATAGCTGCGGCATCCTCTTTAATTTGTGGAGGAGGAATCTCGGATACGAGTCTTGTACTCTGGGCTCATGGCTTGCTAAGGATCTTGCGCATTTTGTTTCTGCGGTGTGTGGGAAACGACCCTTTTCCCGAAAGGCGGAGGGTTCACTGTTTCCCCCACGTACCTATTAAGGTACGGAAGGTCAGGCCTGAGTGTGCGTCGGCCCACGGCCCTGTGCATCCCCCGTGAGGCCGCGGGGTTGCTGAGTCAGCCGAGATCTGCTTCCTCTCCAGGGAGCACTGTTCATCAGGTGGGCGCCGTGGGTTGGACACCTTTGCTCTTCATCAACAGATCAAAACATTATAGTGGTCGTTTGTGTTCTCTGCCAGGAATCGTAGTTCTGTCTCTCTGACCCGTGGCAGGAAAAGTTCGGGTTAGTTTGCCAGCTGGCTGGTCTCCTGTCTCCTCACGGCTGGGCTCCGTGTGGGTCTGTAGCGAGAGCGGACGGGACGGCTCTTGGTGCAGTGGCAGGCCTTGCTCCCCACAGAGGCGGCGGGCAGCGAGCGTGTTCTGGGGGTTTCTCCTGCCGGCTCAGGGCCGCTGCATCAGGCCGCATGGGGCTCCTCCCGAGGAATGTGGCTTGTAAGCGGGCCTGCCTCTGTCTGCACGTTTGCAGTGGTTGGGGCATGACGGTTCCTTGGGGCCTAGCACCTGCATTGGCTGAGAAGTCTTCGCGTTGAAGCTGGAGTGTAGCAGGAGCACAGAACCAGCAGTGAGCTGTACCCGCGGCCCTTCCCCTGACCCGCAGGCCTGGTGGCTAAGACTCTCCAGGGTCGGGATGGCCTCCTGAGCGTGCTTGAGAACCCCTCCCTCTCAAAAGAGCAAAGAAAATCCTGAGACCATTTCCTTTTACTCATGAGGTGTTTATAAGACTTACCTTTTTTTTTTTGGCCACACCCAGCAGTGCTCAGGACTTACTCCTGGCTCTGTGCTCAGGAATCACCCCTGGCAGTGCTCGGGGGACTGTATGTGAACCCAGGTCAGCGTGTGTAAGGCAAGTGCTCTACCCATTGTACTCTTGCTCTGGCCCTAAGACTCAACAACTTGTTAGAAGAATCTAAAAGTTCTTTTTGTTTTGTTTTGGAACCACACCCTGCTGTGCTCAGGGCTTTTTCCTGCACTCAGGGATCACTCCTGGCGGTGCTTAGGGGAATCATGGGATGCCGGTGATGGAACCGAGGTCTGCCCCACACAAGGCAAACCCCGACCTGCTGTGCTGTCATTCTGGACCTTCTAGAAGTTCTTTGTAAAGAAAGCCATTCGTAGGTGATTTCAGGGTTAAGAGAATCGCAAATCTCCTTTTTTACCTTCCTGGTCTTATTTTTGCAGTGCTGGGGTGATGGGGTACTGGGCGACAAACCCAGGCCTCTTGGATGTGACCCTAAGCATTGTCCTGCTTTCCTGAGCTTCTGCCCAGTTCCTAAAAGCCCGTCTTACCTCTGCTCTGTTGCAGACTCGAGAATGAACAATCCGTCAGAAACCAGTAAAGCGTCGATGGAGAGCGGCGAGGGCAACGCAGGTAAGAGGGGCTTCTCGGGTCAGCTCCCGGCAGGCACCGTGAAGCATCGCTCTGGGACGGACTGCAGAGACCGGGGGGCCTGGCGTCCTGTTTGCGTCCCCTCCGTCTTCTCTCAGCCGGGGGACCGTAGGCCGTGTCCTCTCCGAGACTTCGCGCAGTCTCAGATTTGAATTGCTTCACAGGCGTGGTAACGGGGCAGCCCGGGGTTAGCTCCGCTCTCGCCTTTCAGCTACCCAAGTGAGGGGTCTGTCTCTCCCGGAGAGGGGTCGTGTCAGGAACCTGCCGGGAAATAGGCAGGACAGGGTGATGCTTGCATGCAGCTTTCCCGGAGCGGGACCAGCTGACCATGTAGGCAGCGCTTTCTTCGTGTTCCTGTCCAAAGCCACTTACAGGGCTCCATGAAGTGTAGCCAGAACCTTTCGGAAGCAGAATTTCTCGGCCCGTTTTAATACGGGTGGTACCCACCAGGCTGGGGAGCGTCGCGGAAACTCCCTGAAGACTGGGCGTCGATTCTCCTCCCTTCGCCCCAAATAGAAGGGACTGTTGCTAGGCTTTTGAGGGTTGTTTTCATTTTGTTTTGTCTTCTTGGGCCCCACTCGGCAATGGTCAGGGGTTGCTCCTGGCTCTGCACTCAGGAGTTACTCCTGGCCGGGGCTCAGGCTATATAAGATGCCTGGATCAAACCCGGGTCGGCCGTGTGCAAGGCAAACGCCCTCCCCGCTGTGCTATCGCTCTGGAACCCAGTTTGTTTCTTTGCTTGTTTGGTTTTGGGGCCATACCCAGCAATACTCGGGTTACTCTTGGCTCTGTACTCGGGGCTGACTCCTGGCAGACTCAGGGGTCCGTATGTGGTGCCGGGAATTGAACCTGGGTCGACCGCGCACAAGGCCAGCACCCTCCCCACTGTGCTGTCGCTCTGGTCCTGAAAGCTCGTTTTCACAGTCACAGGAGTCCCGTGGCTGAGCTGTCAGTAGCTGTAACAGCCGCGGCTGCTTCTCAGCCTCGCTCACTCTGGAACGGCCTCTCCCTGCCTGTCCACGCCACCCGGCCTTGGTCAGACTTACCGGCATTCCAGTGCTGGCCCTTCCGTGCCTGAGGACCACCGGGGCCCCTTGGCCATTTCTCCCGTGTCCAGGATCTGACATCTCCCACCCACAGCAGTGTGTTAGTGATGAGAAAACATACTTGTCTTCTTTTGCATACTAATTGACAGTTCAATGGGTGTAAAATTCCCTTTATTTGAGTAATTACTCTCTCTCTCTCTCTCTCAAATGGCTTTTATTTTAAAATGCAACAAATGGGCAGAATGTGTGACTGTAAAGAATATGCTGTTAGCTTCTTGGTTAATGCATGAATAGGATGTCCGCTGGAAAGCGGCCTTCCCGCGACTAAGGCCCCACTCTCTGGGATCGGTGCACTTTTACAGATTACTGTGGTATTAGACATTCCGGGGAAAAAGTCATTTCAATTGGTGGTATTTTAAGGCCATTATGTTATAGGGCCAGAGAGATAGAGGGATCAGACCCTGGTCTTCCGTCCCCCTGACCCTGGTTCAATTCCTGGCACCGCCTAGGACCTCCAGGCCCTGCTGTGGTCAGTTCTGAGCACAGAGCCAGAAATCACGCCTGAGGGGCTGGAGTGAGAGCACAGCGGGTAGGGCGTTTGCTTTGCACACGGCCGACCCAGGTTCGATTCCCAGCATCCCATACGGTCCCCCGAGCACTGAGTGCAGAGCCAGGAGTAACTCCTGAGCATCGCCGGGTGTAACCCAAAAAGCAAAGTAAAGTAAAAAGTAAAGTAAAGGCCCTCCCTTTGATCATCGATTTGCTCGAGCGGGCCCAGTAACGTCTCCATTGGAGACTTTGTTGTTACTGTGTCTGGCATATCGGATACTCTCGGTAGCTTGCCGGGCTCTCCGAGAGGGGCGGAGGAATCGAACTCGGGTCGGCCATGTTGGCTGCGTGCAAGGCAAATGCCCTACCGCTGTGCTATCGCTCCAGCCAAAAAAGCAAAAAAAAAAAAAAAGAATTGTAGAAATCACTCCTGAGCACCCCTGAGCATCGCCCAGACTTCCCCCTCAAATATCATAAACCTATTTAAGGCTGTGTTCATATGTTACTCCTTTGCTGTGTTTTCGTGCCAGAGCGATTTAAGTTGAACAGGGAGATCTGACGTGCACTTTTGAGAAACAGCCCTTCGGTCCCTGCTTCCCAGAGGGGATGATTCCGCCCGCTGGAGAGTGCTGCTCCCCTTCCCCCACCCTCTGAGCAGCAAGAATGTCAGGTGCCCGCGACGGGCACAGAGGGGTGGTCAGGCAAATCAGCTTGGGAACCTCTGCCCTAGACGGCCCCCGGAAATCTGTAGCTGGTGTGTGTTGGTCAGTTGCCCAGTTGGTGCCCGCGCAGTGTGTGCAAGGCCGCCCTTGTGTCCTGGAGGGGCCAGCAAGGCCCACCAAGAGAGCAGACAGACGCACAGACAGCGAACTTGAGATAGGCTTTGAGGGTGCTGGGAGAGGATGGGGGGAGGGGTGCGCTCGTGGCTTCTCGTAGGGGAAACTGAGTCTGCGTCTCGGCTGGGGCAAGGAACCACAGAGTGGAGGGGGTGGAAGGAAGGAAAATAGTTGCTGGAGCCCAGGGGGGAGGTGTGCAGAGCGGAGGGCGGCTTTGGAGACGGGGGCAGAGCACCCCTCTTTCTAAAGCCCAGTGAGGACTGGAAGCCGAGGGAGCGCGCTCGTCACTGTGGGCTGAGGGGTGTTGAGGGAAAGGGCGTTTCTCACCGTGAGCCCGTCCAGGGAGCCCCAGGGAGCCCGGTCCACCTGCTCAGCCTGACGGGGGGGGGGGGGGGGGGGGGTTCTGTGTTGGAGAGGTGTTGGGGGAAGCCGAGAGCAAATGTTCTGCCTCCCTCTGACTCGGGGTCCCCCGGGCCAGTGTGACCCTCCCGGGGGCTGCGTCCAGCCCAACACCAGGAGTGGAGAGGAGGGGAGGTCGTGTTGTTCTGCAGGGAGACTAGGAAGACTTTTTCTTTGTTTGTTTTTGTCCCGCATTGTTTGTTCTGGGAGGTCATGCCCGAGGAGGGCTTGCTCTGCACTCATCCTGGGATGTGCGCAGTGGCATGCAAGATTGGCGCCCGCCTGCTGTCCTGTTGTGGCGGCCTGGGAGTGCCGTGTCTCACTTCCACCCAGTCGCTTCCCTCTGTCCGTCTCTCCAGACGCCCGGACAGACAGAAGCCCCCGCAGTGGTCCAGTTTGTCTGCGTCTGAGTGTCACCTCGCCCTGCGCTTCTCTGTGCAGTGTGGGGCGTAGCCTGGGCTGGTGTCACCCACGGGCTGGGACTCACGTGCAGCGAGCAGGGGCTTCCAGGGACCTTCGAGAATCCCGGGCAGCATGCCCCCCCCCCCCCGCCCCTGCGGCCGGAGTCTGTCTTGTCTATCTTGTCGCTCTCCCAAGCACTCCCTGTTTGTGGGGTGACCAGTTCTGTCTCCTGCTCTGCTTCTGGGGGGCATCCCACTTCTCTTTCCGGAACGGGAGGACTGGCCTCAGTCAGGTCGGCAGGGCCCTTTCCTGTGGGCTCCTGAGGATTAGGGTGGGGGGGTGCAAGTGGCCTTTGTTCTGCTCCCACTGGGCTTTATCGGAATTAAATCTGATCCTCTGTGTTGCGGGCGATTGGGAACGGGAAGAAGTTGTGTAGGGCTTTAGGTGGATTGGTAGGAAACAAACCTTTTCCATGTAAAGCAATACTGGATACACCCTGCAGCCTTGCTCCAGCCTCGCCCAGGGCCGACTCCTTTGAGCCACTTGTCCTTGTCTCCTGCTGAAGAGAAGGGCGACTATTGGGGGGCCTGGGGTTGGGGGTGTGCTGGGCCCCAGCGGTGTGGGGGTGCACCTGGGCATGGGGCCTGTCCAAGCTGGGGATGAGGCTCAGCTGGTGGCACAGCAGCCTGCTGGGGCCTCTGTCGCCTTGAAGGGTGGCCTGGCCTGTTGTCTTGTTTCTGGTCAGAGCGTGTGCTGGAAGCCGTCTTCGGGGCTGTTTCTACCATTCCCGTTGCCTGTATTATTATCATTTTTTAAAATGATTTCTTTTTTGTTTTGTTTTGTTGTTGTGGTTTTCTTTTTGATGAGGGTCACACCTGGCGATGCTCAGGAGTTCCTCCTGGCTCATGCACTCAGGAATTACAACGGGTAGTGCTCGGGGGACCCTATGGGATGCTGGGTATCGAACCTGGGTCGGTTGGGTACAGGGCAAATGCCCTTCCCGCTGTGCTGTCGCTCCAGCCCGCCTGGATTATTTTTAAAGTCCCTCCCAGGCATCAGAGCAGTGGGACAGCAGGTCGCTCCCTGGCCTTGCGTGCGGCCAGCCTGGCTCGCTCCCTGGCACACCATCTGGTCCCGCACGCAGCGGGCCCGAGTGTGGCCGCTGTTCATGGTCCCTAGTTCCGCAAGCAGTTTCCAGCTGCGAAGCAGCCCAGGATGCAGAGGTACCACAGAAAGGGGCACGGGCTTCAATATTCCCCCTGGCAACATGCCCCAGCACACATATGTGTGAACACCCTGCACCCCCAGAGAGCACCTCAGTGCAGAGAGCAGCCCCCAGTACAGGGAGGACCCTGCGGTGGCGACGTGTCCGGCCTACTGGAGCAGAGGTTGCCTGGGATGTGGAAAGTGAAAGAAAGGGAGGGGAGAGTGAGCAGGCTGGGGAGGAAGATGCTAGGGTCGGAGGGGAGGGAGGAGAGCGCGCCGATGGTGGAGGGACGGAAGTGGTCTGCTTGTAGGGGGACACCTGAGTCAGAGGAAGCAGGAAATGATCCGAGGGTTGTAATTCAAGCCAGGAGCTGTGACATCAGGTGCAATCTGAGGATGAGGAGGTGCCTGGGCCTTCTGGGGACTTGGTCTCTCCGAGGAAGGCAGGAGCCTGGTGCCATGTGAGCGGGGAGAGACAGAGAAGGCAGAGTGAAGCCAGGGTGGTGCCCCGTTCCCTTTACCCACAGGAACGTTAGTGCGACTT